ATGTAGAGGATGTTATGCTCTCTTATCAATGCTTTTCCTCCAAATTAGCCTTAGCATCATTGCAAAAGTGTTTCTTCAGGAATCTCTTGGGGGTTTATAGTCTATTTACATCATTATATATATATTATTTACATCATTGCATATGTAGTGTGTGTATATATATATATATATATATATATATATATATATATATAAAAATGTTTTTGCAATGTTATTAATTAATATGTTCAGACTAAAATATTCTTCAGGTTTTTAAAGGCAAAATGTACACCGTTAGGTAGGTCAATGTTAATAAAATGAAGACAATGGAAACATCAAATTAAGAATATGGATGTATACTGTCTCATAAGCAAAGCAAAACTGGAATATAAGCAATCATGAGCACAATAAATGATGTGACTTATAGTGAATGCGATACTGTATTTACTTCTTGTATTTTGTAACTTATTAGTCCTTCGGTTGAACCACAAACATTTTAATAGCTGTGTTTGTAAAAAGCAAATAAACATCTTGATAATCTGACTGATCATGGTAACTACAGCATTACAGCAAACAGTCATAGCTTATAAATATTATTTTCACCAACTTGTGCAAGGTTGGTAAAAAGTTTAGAAGGATTCTTTGTTATTAAACCTGAACACATAACAGATTTTAAAAAATATTGATTTACAAGGTACAAAATTTCAACAGACTTCCTATGTATATAACGATTATTTTTTGCATAGATCAAAACCATATATGTTGTAAGAAGAAAGACAATAGAAAAATAATCTCGTAAAGTAATAAGCCTACAGTGCAATGCTTTAGGGATATGCTTGATAGTTGATAAATAATTCATCTAATTTAAATGCAAATAGCAGAACATCATTACCATATAGATCAGTTCAATAATTCCTAAATGAAAGATCATATGTACTAATCAACTACCAGGAGACTTTCCACCTACAAAAGTTAACTGTTTAGTGGGGAGCAAATAGGCAACTCACAACGAATCATGAACCCTAATACAGGCTCCAGAAGTGCCTTGGCCAACTCATGGAAGAAGAAAGGTAAGGATGGGAATTGCCTTCCACTTTTCAAGTAGAATTCAGCATTAGAAAAGAAAAAACAAACAAACAAACAAAAAAACCCCAGCTGTTGGGTAAATTCCCATTTACATGCTTGAAAGTAATTATGTCTGTACACATAAAAATGGAAAACAAGGCTTTTGTGTAACACATAGTAATCCTGTCTGTGTCAAATCCTACAGAAAAATCCTTTCCCCCACACAGAACAATACTAACTAAAGGAAGTGCTTACTACTGTGCCTTTAGTTTGCCAATGGACTGCTTTGTGTCAGAGCAGCTGAGGCTGGTTTACATAGTTACACTGAGACATTTTGCCGACTTGGCCAGAAAAGCTTCATATAAGATAACTTAAGTGAGGCCCTTGAATTTTGCAGACATCCAGTGATGAAAACCCCCATAAATGTAAACTCTCGATGAGGTAAAGTTGATGCTGTCTGGACATCAATAAGCACAGTGTAGGAACCTACTGCAAGAACAGTCTGTTTTTTTCAGCCTCTGGAACAAAATATTAGCATCTCAAAATATACATACAGACTATATGCATAGGTTAGAATACTAACTCTTCCCTGCAGGCAAAATCAATTAGTAGGATGCTAATCTTATGATTATTATCATTTACATGAACACCTTTTTTGATTTTTTCCTGTTGTTTTCAGTAACACTTATGCAAATACATTCTCCAGACATTACTGTGACATTCATTTGGTGTAACATTCAATCAGCGTAAAATAGTATTACATTAATGCTGTATTTGCAAGTTACGACCCTTTAGAAATATACTCTTATACGGTGTGTGATGATACTCAGGAATGGATTAGTAAAAATCAACAGTCCTCTGCTGCTTGGGAACATGGACACGTTAATTACACAGAACATATGCGTGTGTGTGAGGTAACTCTGCACAGTCTTTAGGATTCACTGAGGCATGCATTACCTGAATTACCTGACCACTAAGCAAAGCTGGCTGGGTTTCATTCCAATCCCTCATCAGTTACAAATACAAACTGTAATTGTGATTTGTCCACATGCTTGTGCCTGTATGTGATTTGTCTCACTAAATTACCAACTCCCTAGGCCAAATAAGGAACCTGCTCATCTGAAAGACAACTTTCAGGTACAGGGAAAATAAATGATAATGGCTAGATCAGTGCAAGTCTTATTTGCATGTGCCTTCCAATTTTTATATTCTTAGATCTCTCTGTTACGTAAGTGAAATTCTTTTATGTCAACACGCCCAAGTTGACAACCACCAGAGAGCTTGCACAGCCTACTGAAAGCAGCTAGTATTAGGAATGGTTATGATTAGTAATTGAAAAAATACAGTAAATGTCCAGTTCCTAAGTGCTGCCTAAAGGTAGGGCAATCACACATGCTTCACAGACGTTAATGTTGAACTATGTAACTTAACAGAATTTATAGATTTTCCACACTCCAATACAAGCAAAGAAAAGTTCATCATCTCTGCTATTTATCCTTGTCCTCAGTGCTCTAAAATAATTACTGGTCTTATGACACCACTCTAGTACATTTCACCCTTCCCCCAAGATTGGCAATGGTATTGAATCTTGATGAGCTAATGCTGAAGAGTCAGTTTCAAGCAGCAGACTACCTAGCCTGCATTTTTATAAGCTGTTTGTAGTTTAAATATACTGTCACTGTAGTTGACCACAACATAAATTAGCAGTTATTTTGATTTGGGCTTGTCTACACTAATTTTAGATATTTGATACAAAATACATACCACACCCAAATCAGAAATTTAATTTGTGTTTTATTGGCCAAGGAATTATTTTGCTACAGATTAGTATTACTTTACATTTACCATCTTAATTATCCACATGAAATTTAAAAAAAAAAAGAGCTATTCTGCTCTGATATTTTAACTCATCCATCCCTGAGGTGTGCAAACACACACACACACACACACACACACACACACACACACACGCCCTCAGGCACCCACTTGCAGCATTTTCAGAATAATCCTTTTAAAAAATTTCATAGCCTATTTGGATCTTGCCAGATAGTGTCTTAGCAATTTTTATGTTTTTAGATCAAATGCTGAATGGTCTAGCTAGCCAGTAACTCTCATATTGATGTTTCCTATGTATTATTTCCTAAAAGCAGGGAAATGTTCAGCCTACACTTAGGTCATCACAATAAGTAAGACAATGAAAACTAAGGTAGTTACAGCATCACCAAGAAACAGTCTTAACACCACACAGCTTAGACTAGAGTGCATCAGTAATTTAAGAGTTTGATCATGCAGGGGATTTCTCTTCAAAGGTGTTTTTGGCCTGCTCCTGCCTTTCACCTTTACATCTACCTGGACTGCAGAGGGAAGCCGCAGGAGTCATTCCTGTACCTGGCGCAGGGCTGCCAGCAGAAAGCTGTTTTCAGCTGAGCAGATTATCTCATGCACATCGGGCTTGTATTCAGCCTACAGATTGCTCACTTGGCAGATTTAGCCTCCTGAATGAAATCTGCTTGCCGTTTTACAGACTAAATGGAAAGCAGAAGTAGTTTACATCTCAAGACACCCCAGAGATTTATGGGGTAAAGTTCTGGAGCTCACAAAACTTTCACGATGGTCAAGAAAATTAGAGAAATGGAAATGGGATGATTGAATTATTCCATCCAGTGCCTCGCGCTTAAAAAGAATAAACACGTCTCTTGCAAGTCTGCATGCTATGTTTTAATTCTAATGAGGTCCTGAAGAGAGAGTCTTTAAGCAAAGGGAACTGCAGGGGCTGAAACTGGAGCTGATGTGCCTTAGCTCCAGGCAATGAGGGAGTACAATTCTCCACATCACGTGCTTTATATTTGATGCTTTACCACTCAACACCGCGAGTGATACAGAATGTGAAGTATGAAATCCTGTCTACTGAACAAAGACAGGCGAAGCTTTTGTTCAGCTCCAAGAAACTCACAACACTAGATCCAGAATTCGGAGCCAAAAGAGCAAAGAGAGACAGTGGGGTAGACCAGGCTGTAGCCAAAAGAATTAAAAAAACAAACAAATTAACAAACAAACAAACAACAACAACAACAAAAAAAACCCACCAAAAAACAACACTGTTTGGATGAAAATAATTTTTATTCTCCACTTAGCGGACATGGCCAAAGTTTGGTGACCATAAAACTTTCAATATTTATTTTGAAAAATCATGTTTTGGCTATTCAAAACATAAACATACTAAAGAAAGCTACCAGCTTTCGAAGCTTGATACACTGATTCTGAGAGCAAAGGTGGCCAGGCTACTGTGATTTCTTTTTTTTTTTCTTTGGGGTCACTCTTTAAAAGTGCCACACCACCATGGAAATTGATACAAGCACTAATGCCTATTACACATTAGCGTGTAATGCAGTACAGCATACTGGTTATACAATACGCTATTGTTCAACAAACTGTTAAGCAGTAAAACACTACTTAGGAAGGCCATAGCTTGTCAAGGAGGTTGTCAGGAGAAACTGTTACTCATTTTAATGAGAGGGAAACAAAACTAACTCCTCCCAAAAGTCAGCTCTCTTTTTCAAGGTAAATTAACACCAATTAGCTACATTCTTTCATCAATCTTCTTAAATGTGTTTTTTCAAATAAACCTATAGAAAAACAAGATAAATCTCTGACTTGTATGTGCTAAGCATTATATTACTTAACTATAGAGTGCAGTGGCACACAATCTAGATCATAAATGAAATGAGAGTTATAAAAATCACTTGAAAAAATAACGGTACTTCTTCCTGCAACAACTCACTTGTTTCCCAGTTCTGTCATCTTTGACAATGTAAATATTAAAGAAATGGCAACTTATTTCCCACTCAAAAATGTAAATAATTTGAACCGCTACTCCTAAGAATTATATGAAATAACAGAAAGGAAAAGGCTTCGTGAAGAAAGTGGAGAAGTTTCTACAGAAAAGAGCTGGTTGTTTTTGTTTTTTTTACTTCATAAACCTAAAACCAGCTTTAATTGTGAAGTCTGCAATACCAGCCATGTTTCACACAGGAAGGAGATCCACAATTACATGGATTGTAGATAACTGGGCTCAAAATACTTGTCGAGAGAAGACAAATTTCTGTTCTTTCTGTACAGGATTTCAAAAGTGCTCATCAGTAGAGCCAGCGCTGACAGCATATTTGTGAGTTTATCAAGTATCACCAGTGAACACACTTTTAAACTTACCGCTTCTCCACGTCACTCCAGTCACTGAAAAGCCTTTCATTTTCTTTTTGCAGGTGCTCATTTTTTGCTTGCAGTCTTCCCAGGCAGTCCAGACAGTAACCAATCAGTTCCTTAACCACCTCCGCCGGACTTGAAACTGCCTGCAGCTTTAGAGATCCAAGTCTAAACTAGAATACAAGGAAAGAATGAGTTACTTCATCAGTACTACAAAAATCACAAAACCTCGCTCCAATAAATTTGAATACATAATAAAATAAGCATAAGAAATATTTTACAGTCCTCCAGTTTGAAGGGATATAATAAATTTGTCACAAGAAGAATTATGTAATATGTAGATTAAATCTACACACCAATTATTTACGCAGATAATACATCTTAATATAATTACTTATAATTCAATGGGCACAGGACATGAGCACTGACATTTTCTAACGTGCAGGAAAACAAGATGCCACGCAGAAAGTGTAATATGATATAGCCACAGCCTGCTCTTGTACAGGTCAGAGGAGGTTAGTAGTATAAAGGTGCAACCTCAGGTTTTATATAAAAGGCATTTTTGATGTAATGAAGAACCACAGGAACTCAAAACCTAATGTTATTGCTAAGATGTTCTTGCCATCTGCCCAATTCTGGTACCCACAGCAGCAATACAACTACATAAACATTACTGATAAAACAAATTAACATTAGTTACCTTTGATTTAAAGTAGCACTATAAATGTCCCTCTATAATGCTTCCATGCACCTGATGGATAAAAACTAGTCCACAAGTTTTTTCCCCTCACGGCTCGGACAGCAACTTCTTAATTGTAAAAGGATTCCTTCAATTAAATAGGTAGCCTTAATAATTCAATGAGATTAAAGGGCAGGATGTATAATGAATAGTTGTATTTCTTCAGTAATGAGGATGTTATACAGGGTATACAAGAAGTCTGAAGAGATTTGTTCTGCCTGGTCTGGCAGAAACAACAGAAAACTGTTGTTTCTGTTATGTTAAATGCTCTATTACCCATATTTTCAACTGGAATACATGGCAGTAAAACACATTGGAGGGAAGGGACATGCCATCCTAAGGGACCTGGACAGGCTGGGGAGATGGGATGTGCAAACCTCATGAAGTTCAACAAGACCAACTGCAAGGTCCTGAGCAATTTCAAGCACAAATCCAAGCTTGGTGATGAATGCATTGAGAGCAGCCCTCAGGAGAAGGACTTGGGAGTATTAGTGGATGGAAAACTGATTATGAGCCAGCAATGTGTGCTCACAGTCCAGAAAGCCAACCGTGTGCTGGGCTGCACCCAGAGCAGTGTGGGCAGCGGGGCAGGGGGGGATTCTCCCCCTGTATTTCTGCTCTTGTGAGACCCCACTGCAGTGCTGGGTCCAGCTCTGGGGGCACCAACATCAGAAGGACACAGATCTGCTTGAGCAGGGCCAGACGAGGCCACAAAGATGCTCAGGGGGTTGGAGCACCCCCTGTGAGGACAGGCTGAGAGAGTTGCGGGGTTCAGCTGGAGAACAGAAGGCTCCGGAGAGACCTTAGAGCAGCTTCCCAGGATTTAAAAGGGCTACAGGAAAGCAGGGGAGGGACTCTTGATCGGGGGGTGTAGGGATAGAATAAGAGGTAACAGTTTTCAGATGAAAGAAAGCAGATTTACTTTAGATGAAAGGAAGAAAATCTTCCCTGTGAGGCCCTGGCACAGGTTTCCTGGAGAAGTTGTGGCTGCCCCCTCCCTGGAAGGGTTCAAGGCCAGGTTGGACGGG